TGAGTTGATTCAACTCAGATGAGCCTAGATTTCTGAGTCTGTAAATCTTTAAGGGAGCCAAATTACCTTAGCTTTCTCTCTTTTAGTAGCTGCTGGGTTTGAACTACTGACCTTATGGTTAGCAGTCTAATGCTTACCCACTGTACTGCCACTGTACCCAAAGAACACCATATGTGCTCAAGTACAAGCTGTCCTGATTATCTACCGAGGCACCTAATTTTACCACAAAAACTGCATTAAAAATGTTCTGACAAAACTCGACTTATACGTGAGTATGTACAGTAAGTTTGTTTCCTAGGAAACAGAAGTTGACACAGTTGGCCATCTGCTCAAGGCAATTGTGTTAGGCCAGGTTGACTGGAGAAACAAATCCAGTGATACTCATGTATATGTGTAAGAAGGGCTTTATATCGAGAAGTAATTATATATCTAGAAAACATTCCATCCCACTCCATATCAAGTCCATATGTCTGATACTAGTCCATAAGTCCCACTTCAGACTTATGGAGTCACAAGCAATGGTACAGAATGCAGGAAGATCACAGGTTGGTGGGTGCAAAGTCATGTGGGTCCAGTGGTGTTGCACACATCCCAGTGCTCTGGCAGGAACTAGGGTTAGCCAGCAGGAAGATGAAGGCAGAGAGAGAAGGGGAGAGTTCCAGGACCCTCCTTATGGGAAGACCACCCCCACAAGGAGGCACAATCAGGCTGTGACCAGATTGACAGGTTGAACACCACCCCTACACATTTATATATCTTCAAGTTGACATGAAATTGTATAACAGCCACAGCCATAAGGAAAGGAAATAAGTACTTCTCTTTATTAATACAAGATAATTGCAAACAGTGAAGTTTTGTTCATCTGCTTGCTCATCTATTTAATATATTTCCCTTTTCCCAAATATATTTACCCCTAAAGAAATAACACTTGTTCCTTCTCAGAGAACTGCCCTACCTGTCTCATCATCCATATAAAGCATGAGGATGTATGGTGAGACATTCTTTTGCTCCTAGTTGGAGAACTGATTGACTGACTTCCTCGCACCTGAGGATTTTCTGTAAGCAAAGGATAAGTGTAAATGTAGAGACAGGTGCAGGAAACTGATGGCCTGCACATTTGAAGGTGAACTTAGAGGTATGGACATTGCCAGTGCAGCTCAGTATCTAATATGTTAAAGAATCTGGTAAAGGAATGTGTGAGATGTAAGGTAGTTAAGAGGTGTTAGAAACCAAATCAGTCGAATTTAAGCAAATAGGCTTTTATTAGGGAGAAAAACCCAGCCTGGGTGAAGTCCCATGGTCCACAGTGTCCGGGTGAGGGAGTCGTGTCCCAGGCTACAGGGGTGGTGCTTATATGGCCAGGGAACTTGTGACTGGGCTGTCTTGAGTCCTTATAAGGTAAAGTAGTCAGGGATTGGGAGATACAGGTATGTCTGGGTTTCTGGAATGTAAGGTGTCTTCCTGGTTCTGGGTGCATTCGTGCTGCGTGCAGGGTGGTGGGCCGAGAACAAAGCGGGCCATGAGCCAAAGAGTCTGTGAATAAAATGGGCCATGAGCAAAATGGGCCGTGAGTAAAAGAAGAGAAAAAAAAAAACTTGCAAAGCAGCTGACAGGTTACATTAGCCAGCTCTGGTCAGCTCCACAGGCGTGTGGGGGAGATTCAAGGTCACTCGTTAGTTGTTTCAGCTAGCTCTGGTTAGCTCTGCACACGAGTGAGGGGAGGTTCAGAAGTCACTTGCTGCTAGGAGCTGGCCAGATATTGATCTGGTCATACATGAGAGAGATGAGTCCAGTGTGGCTGAGAGGTGTTGAGAAGGATATTTGAATGGGAAGGAGAATGTTGTAATCAGATGCATTTTGGGAATATATATTTCCTTGTTTAGTACTGTACTCTCTTTTACTCCACTTGTCTTCCATTATTTGATGTATTCTCTTCCAGTAGTTTATGCATTGCTTGAGTGTCAAGAGTTACTTTCTAGTAATTCCTCTTGGTTACATTGCCCTTTGTGATAGGTAGGTTTATTGTGCCAACCTGGCCAATGAACACATGTGGGATTAATTGAAGGAAAGTTTAATTGAAGGGCAGAGAGATCAATGGCTTGGCAAGCCTCGCCTTTTTTTTCTCTTTCTCTTTGATGATCGGACCAGTGTGGGACTGTCTTATCTGGTTCTCTCCTTCAACTTGCGATCTACACTACCTGTGGGACACCCAACCCATGGATTCTATCGCTGTAGTTTGAGGTTCCTTCAAGACTTGCTTTGCCTTGCTACTGGTGTATACATTGCTTGAGCTGGGGACTGTCGGACCCTGTCATCTGGCTGACTGTTGGTGACCTGCCTTGCTATTTGCTGCCTGTGGCTGGATTGCCTGAATTGCTCTGGAGAGGACTCAGCTGTCTGCTTCCTTGACTTGCACTTGGTGGCCCTCATGGCTTGAAGGACTGCCAGTGTATTAGCTGTCTCCTGGAAGTTAGTTGCACTTAGCCTTTGTACTGCTCTATAGACTAAATTAGCTGTTAATTTCTTATGTTGTATCTATCTATCTATCTATCTATCTATCTATCTATCTATCTATCTATCTATCTATCTATCTTCCTTCTCCTCCTCCTCCTTCTTCTTCCTCTC